CTCTATGTATAACCAAGGAATCTCAAACAGGGGTGAGTAAGAAGCCCAGTATCATCCCTGTCCCGATTCTGAGTTGTCCCTTGACCCTAGTTATAGTAAGAGAGGAAGGCAAACTCTTAGGGGGCAAATAATAAAGGCTGTCAGTGTTAAAGTAACTGTAGATATTGCAAAGTGGGTAGTTCTGGGTGGCTGTAAAAACCTGCAAGAAGAGGAAACCAGTACACTGTGACTGTATGAATTCATTGAGGGTCAGCTCTGCAGTAGGTGGCAGAGGCTTATAAGTCAGATTCTGAAGCGAACTTGAGCTGAGGAGGTTTCTTACTGTCCAGTAGTTTTAATTCTTTGGGTGGAAAGATGGTGTTTTAATTTGTGGAGCTATTTTAGGTAAACATTCTTTTATTCTCATCAAGCAATATAGCTGACTGTGATTGATCTGAAAAGCTACATGTACCTTTGGGGCATACACCTCCTCCCCCTCGCGCCCCGTTCGGGGTAGGATGGTAAAAGCTGTGTCTGCCACTCGGTAGGTTGTAGGGTTTTCAAGGGTCTGATCATAAGGATTACCTGTTAGGCAAATAATGTAAATTGCCAGGTTTTGGAGAGAGATGTTAATAGGAAAAATGTAAGCTGATACAATAAGTAATGAAATACTGGGCAGAATGATGGAGATACGTAACTATGAGCACCTTTTTTAGGAATTCTTGAGTCACTTGTCCAGTATTCTGTTAGACATCTGAATGTGATCTCTCTGCTTTGTGCTTTTAAGAGTTTTCTGTGGTTGACTGGGTCATTTTATGAATGTAGTTGAGAGTGAAGCAAGAAATGATTGTCCTGCTGTTGACACTTGGTCCTGTTCTTTCTGAGTCCAGACATGCATTTTCTAGATGCTCAGGGGTATTTTGCATGCTGAAAAAAGAAGTTTCTATGTATTTGGCCACCAACAATTCCATAGGTTTAAGAATTTCAGTGGCAAACTTTTAGATTGGAAAAGTTCCATTATAAGTTCCTAATCAGAAGATTGTTTGCAGCATTCTGCTGTGCCTAAGAGTGATTTCAAAGCACTCATTTAATTATGTTTAAAAAAGGACATCTTAACTGAAATGGGGTAATCACTTGTATCTGTAAAAATGAAAGCTGACACTATGTTGAAAGACGGTCAGTAATTTGTAGAATTTTTTTTCTGACAAAAATTGTCTCACCTTGGAATGACCAGTTTTGGATGAAAAGTAAAGGTGCAAATGACATGGCAGCCTTTAGTGTTGGTTTTTTGTTCGGGGCTTGGGGGTTTTTTAGTGCTTGTTTAGTGTGTTGCATGACACAAGTGACTTTCTTTTCACTTTTTAATAAACCAGAGCATATCATCCTATAAATGGAATCATAGCACTGATGAAGCATAGCCTATGTTTCAGATAGGGCCAAAAATTTTTGTTGCTCAGCAGATTCACTTTCTCTTTTTTTCCTTCTTAATCTAGAATAAAGTTTGTAATTTGAGGGGTTTGCACTCATTTCATTAATTTAAGGGAGAAGTTGCTTGTAGTTCCCTAATGCACTGTTTAGGTAAGATACTCTATTTCTACAACACAGAACGCAGGATAAATGTCTGCTCACTGGTGACTCACTCGGGGAGTAGAAGGTATGGTAGGGTTCAGATTTATGGTTCATGTTCTACTGCTTTAAAACTAGTAGGTTGGTTTAGTTTTTCAAAAATCTTGGTTTCATAATTTGATTTCTAGCCTCTTCTTGTATGCAAGATTAATCTTCGGGATAGGCTTGATTAGGGGTGTTTTGTGTGGGCTCTGACAAAAAAAATTCTCTCTTGAATACCTTTTTTCTGTTTTTCTGCTTGTTCCTTCAGTACTTTTCAGCAGAGCTGGAGTGCCTGTGGAGCAGATGTTTAGCCTAGATGTAAAGGGGGCTGAAATAAACTTTCGTAGATAACTAACTAACTCTAAGCTGAGCACTTGTTAAATACTGAAATTGTGCATCAGTAACAGTTTCTAGTTGTCTAACTTTCATGAGGAGGAAAGGGACATTTAGCTCCTGTATAAGGGATCCCTACATGATTCATTGTTATGCGTTTTCAGCACAACACTGAGAATTTTAGCATGTCATCTTCAAGAAGTAGAAGCAGAATACTGTTACCCTAGAAGGAAAGGCTGGATCCCTAGAAGAGGTTGCTGAACCCAGAAGTAGGATTGGGCACTTCACACGCTTAAGAGGAGGACTGTAATGTCGTGTTTATTCCTCTGGAAGAATAATGTGTCCTTCCTTAAAATGAAGGCCTTATCTTCTTATCATGTAAACATGAAATATGCTTCAGCAGTCCGTGCTTTCCATGTACTCGTTTTTAATTGTAACGTGAGCCCAGTACATTAAAGCAGTCATTTCAACTGTACTGTGGGAAGTGACTAAACTTTATTGAAGAATGGAAGAGTTAGAAAAGAAAATAATTTGCAGACATCAGCACTCTAAGGAAAACTGGTAGAATATAATGGACCAAAGACTCCTTTCTTTAATATAAGAACTTTTCCCAATGTTAAATGGAGGTGCTAGAATTTCTCTGGGCAAGTTTCTTTATGAGCAGTGACATTAGTGGAGCCTAGTTTGCTGTGCCTCCCAGTCTTCCTCCTCCCCTGACACGGAGCTTTATCGGGTCTGAATGAGTGAGTACCTTCAGACGTCTTCTCTCCCTTTTTCCAGTGCTACTCCTCTCTGTTCCGTTGTCTGTGTTTGGCTGGGGAACAGGGCTGCATGTGCTCTGACTAGCTAGGGTTACAAGCAAGAAGAAAGGCTTGAGCTGTGCACCTCTTTGCTGTGCTTGAATAAGGAATGTTTTGGTCACTGAGTAGCAGTAAGGCTCCCCCCCCCCCCCCCCCCCCCCTTTTTTTTTTTCTTTTTAGATCTTCTGTTGCTTCTCTATTTTTGTATTTTTTTTTTAACTGTTGACATTTTATAAACTTATTAGCACTACCTTAGCTGCTATAAGGAAACATGTATTTCAGTTCTCTTGTTTAATGGATATGCTCATGTGGATAGTCCCATATTTTTTAACAGCTACACTGAAAAAGTTCTCCCTTTTATTTTTCCAGTATAAATCCTTGGCATTGTATTTAATGTTCTTGTCATCTTTTTATTTTATTCATATCCCCTGTATAATTTACTGCAATAGTTACTTTATAAAAAAACCCAATAGATTACAAGAAGTTTTCAGTGTCCTAAATCTTGCATAATACGGTGCTGTTTGCTTAAGTATTTGAAATATACTTTAACCTTTAAAATTGGGATAGGTACTGCTTGAGTAAGAAAAAAATCCCTTTTATTTAAGTGTAGTGCATTATGAAACTGTGTCAGAGTACGTGTGTGTTTTCCTATTTGGGAAAGTAAAGTCATTCCCATGTTCAAAAGCTAATTATGCCTTTCTGTAGAACAGTCATTAATGATAGCTGGGAGAAGGTGAATCTAGAAGGAGTATTTGGGGTAGGTTATTTTGTGTGATTGTGAACATCCTTTATGACATAATTACAGAATGTGACTGAAATATGCTTAGTCTTAACGTTCTTAAACTTGCATTGTTAAGACTGCAGTCATATCCCTCAGTTTGTACCAAATGTTTGGGGGGGAGTGGGGGAGGAATTGTATTCTTAAGTTGTGAAAGACTTAGCCTGATTGACTAGATTTTGAAGTGATTTTATTCATCTAAGTTGCATGTAAACATTTACACATATTGCATGTTGATAGCGTAAGGATGATGAATGTTGTTCTAGTTTTTTTCCTGCTCTGGGCATCTAAATAAATCACAGTTTAGAGCACCAAAATTAGAAGCTGGCTCCACAAGCAGTTCCGGTGGTGAGGGGCACCTTATGGGCATGATTCAGCATGTATCCGTTAGGCATTTAAAAATACAAGGTTGTGAGTCTCCATAGACAGATGAGTGCAAAGGTACATTCTTAAGAGAAAGCTCTGTGTGCATTGTCATTATGTATATGTTGTTCTTATTTTGCTTAAACTTAAGGACTTTTGTTAAGTTATGAAAATGAATATGCGAGACAGGCATTGAAGGGTGATTAAAAATTAGGGATATTGTTTATCCGTGCTACTTGTAGGAAATAAACCTGCACATAAAGTGCATATTGTTCTTGCCATCTTAATCTGTTTAGTGTTTGTAGTTTTTCAAAGCAGAGGTTGTCGTCTTCTGTTGTTTGAAAGATACATACTGTGTAGAAACCATTCTTAAGAAGCAAACACTTGAAAAATCAAAATCTTGGTGTTACTGCAGTGAATCAAATTCTTCATTTTTGGATGGTGTCTAGTGCAATCTTCTAGGAATGTAAAGCCTGTTTCTGTTCTAGTCTGATGTAGCCTGTTAGCCGAAGGGCAAGATGAATCAACTAGAATTTTTAGTGGGGAAGAGGGATGCAGGAATGGTGATTAGAGAAATTCATTGCTAAGTAGAGCTAATATTCTACTGAACAGAGCTGTTCTTAGTGCTGCTTCCCAGGTTAGTCTTGGTCTTAGATGTTGAATAAAATGTAAGCTTTTTTCCGCTTGCTTTTGTTTCTCTAGTTACTGAATGAAAGGGCATGTGAAATTGATTTCTCTTTGTATGTCCCTCCGCACCAGTTCTTTAGAAATTACAGGCCATCAGGGAGCATGGTAAATGAGCTACATGATTAAATTTTTAAATCTTACAACAGCTTTGTCCAGGATGAAAATCCCAAAATTTCAAATTATTTCCTTTGTTATAGTTTTTCTTTAAAATATTGCTTGATTTACATTTGTAAGATTAATAATAAATATACTTTTGGGTTGACATTTCATAAAACAAAATTATAATCTTAAGGAATGCATTACCCACAACAGTGTACTTATTGTGGCAGTGTTGCTTTTATTAAACCATTTATCATTTTAATGTTGTGTATTCTGACTCTTAAGGTTTTCTGTCTTTTTCTTAAAAGAAAATGCAACAAAACAAATTCAACATTCATTTTTCTTTCCTACAGCATTATCTGCATACCAGAGGTACTACAGTTTACAATCTGACTACTGGAAGGTCTGTATATGCTGCCTTTTTTTAAATGTATTGTTGTAAATGGTTGAATTTCTAAAATAGATTAATTTCAATATAAGTTTCGAGTATCTACCCGCAATTACTTTTTGGCATATTAATTGGGTGTTAATGGAAATGTTCACCTATACGTACAATTTATTATAAATCTAAGTGGAAATAAATCTTTACACCATTTGTTGAAATGGCAGATCAATTAACTTGACACATTTTAGATTTTTTTTTTATTATCTATTACTTCAGTTTTTCTTATGTAAGCATAGATATTTGGATACGTGAGTATTGAGAGAATCATAACCACTTGAAAGCTGCTGCGCAGGCGTTGGACTTGTACTAGGAAAAATGTTCTCAGGTTGCTTTTTATTTCCACACACGCCAAATTGTTTCAAGTCCCTTTCAGTATTTTAGATAACATTCTTATGTAAGGCAGGAAAAAACCCTGTTAGTGTAGCTATCTTATTTGTAAGTCCGTGTAGAGGTATCAGGACTTTAAATGAATAAAATTTAAAAATTTCTTACAGTGATGTCGTAAAAAATACTTAGCATTGTTGTATTGTCACACAAAATGATTTGAAGCTCGTGATTGAGACGGAGGTGCAGGAAAGCATGTAACACAGTAGATACTTCTGTGGTCTTAAGCAGCTGTTTTCCTTAAACATCTGCATAGATGCGTATTTCGAATAGGGAGGGCTGACTCTGGAAAGACATCAATACCACTATATATACCAGCATTAGAGAAACAACGTTTTCTGTGTTCTTTGCATGTTATAGGGACTGTAAGTACGTTCTGAAAAATCCTGTGACAACTTCTCCTGTTTGGGGGCGTGGAAAGGGAGAAAGGCAGGGTAAATAAAGGGTAGAAGAGTGAACTGAAATTAAGTGTCTTCTGGCATATGGAAGGAAAGGTCCGGTTGGAGCATCCTAGGAAAATTGTTCGTATTGTCTTGTAAAGCCCCGGCTCCAGTAGAAGTTGTATGAGTGCCATTTTTGCACCAAGCCATTTTGGAGTTGCAGTGTTTTTTTCAGAAATAGCCCCTGTAGTTTAAAAATTACAACGTTAAATAAAAGCATTCATCTATTCTTACTTCTTACATGCTCTCAGAGAGTTAAAGATTGCTATAAATGAGTGTTGAAATCGATCAATTAATGAAACATCTACTGTAATAGTTTCTGTTGTTTGTACTTTTCCCATGTTAAGTATTTCAGAATAGTTTGTGACTTGAATTATTTTTTCTGGCCTTTGTTCTAATGGCTCATTATTAGAAGAAGTGATAGATGATTAGTAAATTATTTTCCCTGCGTTTTCAGAGAGTTCAGGGTGAAGTGTAAATGATTGTGTGTATTTCCATAAGCGTAGAGTGTTTCAGCGTGGCTCAGAATATTATCTGCAATTAAAATAAATGTAAACTCTGATTGTTTTGCAGTTCCATTTCAAGAGCATGGATGCCAATAAAATGTGTGATCTGTGCTTGACTTTATTGAAAGTAATTCTGTTTGTATTGCGAGGCGCTGGTATTCTAACATACCTTTCTTGTGTATATCTGAAGAGTGTTACCATGCAGAGATTACTCAAACAATTCCAGTTGCAAGCATGAGAGCATTGTTTGGAGCTGTCAAAAGACCATATTGACTTTGACAAAGAAACAAAAAACAAAAAAACCCACAAACCCCAATAATTTTTCTTCAGTTGGCCTCACCTGGGAAGGTTACTATGCTACTTGATCTCATTACAAGCTTCCTTATAAATGTGTGGTCCAAAGTGAGGTTTTTTTTCCATAATCATTTTAGAGATTTTCTTAGTTTTTATGTGCAGGAAAAAGAGCCTGAAAGAGTCCAAAAACATTTTTTGGTTAAGAACTTTTTTTGCTGAAACTGATAAAAATCACAGGTGAATCGTATTTCATCTTATTAATGGATGATGAAGCTAGGCTGGAGTTGGCAGTGGGAAGCTGGCTGGGTTGGGTCTAGAGAAAGGTCTTCCCCCTCTCCCCTCAACTGAGAGGATTTCTTGTTTCTTGTTATCCTTAATGCCTTGTATATGTAAGAAACTATTTAGTCAAGAATAGTAAGTATGTGGTGTATTTTTGGTTACCCTTATATGCTGTTTTGTTATACTTTGTAATTAACTTTTTTCAGAGAGATACAGAAGACTTAAAAAAAAAAAAAAAAAGCAGTCACATTTCCTTGTTGTACTGTTGTGGCTTTTTTTAAGATTTTTTTTTTTTTTTTAAGTTTTTACAGGGTTAGATGTCATCAATTAAGTTGTTGGAATTTGTGATGGTAAAGAAAGGAAGAGAGAGAAGGGTGTGAAGAAAGGGAGATATTTATGAGCTGTGCGGAGAGCTGTGTGAGAGTACTGAGAAATTGATGGAGAGTGCTGAATCACATGAAGGTTATTATATAAGGCAGGTTTGAAACCAGACAGGAACAGTCTTATAAACTTAGGCAGCATATCTGAAATGACTTACTGTTGTGCAGTGCAAGTTTATGTGGTTGAAATAAGTGTCCTGTATCTTCTTTGTTTTATAAATAGAAAACTTCTAGAAGGATTGTGAGAGATTTTAGTTTGCTTTGGATATAGTTTGGCCTCCTTATATAGTATTTTTAGTCTCTGCTACTTTGGGTTTTCACTGTTGCATGGGGTTGGTAATTGAGCATTATTTTCATGCAGTGTTCATTATACAATATTCATTCTACAATTCATCTTTTTTTTTTTTCCTTTCATGAAGAAAAGCATTTTAATTTTTTTGAATAGATATTTCTGATGGTCTGAATTTTTTACCAGGTGATTTTCTGTCAGAATTTGGTACATGGGTTGTTTTATTGGTAATACAGTGAGCGTTTTGTCGATCCTGTGGGACAAAAAAAGAGAAAGAAAAAGCGCTTTAGAAAATAAATTCTGAATATATGTTATAGTGACAGAAGTGAAGGTGAAAGGTTAGGAAGATGCTGTATTTTGCCATTTACCAGATCGATACTCCCTCCATTCTGGTGAGAGATTACTTCCTTTCAAAGAAGTAATACCTGTATGGATAGATCTGAAAGAGCTGGGTTGCATTATGCCGCATATTCCTGAATAGACCACTTTTTGCAGTGATGTCTTTGGGCACCCACAGATAAACGTAAAATGTCCTGCAAAATCACTGAGTTTCTGCAGTTTTTGTTGTACACAGGCACTGTGGTACCTTAATTCGGCATTTAAAAAAATAATTTGACTTGAAATCTTCTGAAGTAAATATCTCAACTTGAATAAAAGCTGAGATAACTTAATAGAGTTCTTGCATTCAAGTAGTTTTCTCAATGTTTTTTCTTCTTCTTATGTGCCTATGCTAAAATAAATCTCCCTTCTGTGCAATGTACTTCATTCTTATTTCTTTTTAAAACTCCCCTGTGTCAACATGTTGGGGGAGGTGAGGAGGACTGTGGGGGATGAACGAATAGGAAGGGCAGTTCAGGAGAGGGAGACAACAACAAGAACTGCAGTTTGTAGATTTTGATGCTACTGAGAAAATAAAGATATCAAGTGTAAGTGTCTGCCATGGTTATCGGTTTTGACATATTCTGAGGAGGCAGGATTAGAAGCTCAGCAAGGAGTAAGATATTCCTGATTTTCATCCAAACATGATGGCAGATATCTGGCACCTGGAAAAAGTTATTTCAGTCATCTCATGTGGTTGTATTATAATGCAGTTGATAATACTGACCTCTTTTATATGGCATCTGGGTTCAGGTCGGGCTGTCCTAACAGAAACGGCAGTACAGGACTGAATTGAGCATGTGTAAGTGTAAAACATATGGACCTGTTGTATTAACGTGGTTGCCCAGGGCAGGGGAGACCTAGAAACCTTCCTCCACAGATGTGGGGCTGCAAGAGGTTTCAGTGCTCACTAGACTGATTCTGGGGAGGGTTTTACAGAAGAGCCTGGTTGTCCGGTACTTTGATTAGATCTCCTCTGCTTTGGCATGGCGCTGCTACTGCAGCCCTTATGTTGTTTGATAATCTTGATTAAAATATATTTGTGGTCTTTTGCAGGTAGGTGAGCGTTCACATATTACCAGTTAGAAATTGTGTGCTTGTAGTTGTTGCAACACAGAATTTGAATAAATAAAACTTTTTGGTACGGATATATTAGGTAGCAGCGAGCTCCCATATGCTGATTCTCTGCAGTGTTTCTGTGAGCCATCTATTATTGACATCTCTGTGATTGGGGAATGAATGTGTAGCTTTCTAGACAGGGTTTTAGTTAAATCCAGGGGATTGTGGACAAGTTATGAGGAGCATGAGGACAGCACTGCCATTGTATGTTACCCTGAGTGTGCTGGTTCATCAAAGAGAAGTATTCTGTCTGTGTTCAAAAAGCTGTGTTTCATCAGAGTAACAGAGGGTACACAGATACTTAACATTTCTATCTGTACGTGAATAAGTTGGAGGATTGCCGGGGCACAGTATTTAGAAATGCACCTAAGTGAACCTTAAAGTGATGGAAGTTACTGTGAAAATGAGTCACTCCTGTATCAAGGAAGACTATTTACCATGGACTAGGGTGCCTAGTTCTAGAATGTAGATGGAGGATGCCTTAAAGAGAAAAGAAACCTCAATTTATTCAGTTATACTCGACTGTAGTATCTCTTTATAGAGAAGTACTTGGAGTGGATCAGTCAGAAAATCTGAATGTTCTTTGAAATGTGTGAGGAACATTTAATTAGTGAGTTATATCCTCCAACATGAATTCAGAGATAGACTTCTTGTTAGCTGTTGACTTTGGCTGGAAAGTTGCCTGGAGAAAAGTAAATCTGTCAGGCACCCTTTATCATTGTTATGAAAATGGTCCTAATCACCTTTTGTTTTTAATAAAGATTTCATTTATGTGGTCAGGGTGAAAACATCAAAGAAGTTTAGTAAACTGCAAGGAAGATTTTCAAAGACCTACCTCTGTGTTCCAGTGGATTTTAAGAATATCTGGGTGCAAGTATGGTACAAACTC